TATATATAGAGAGAGAGAGAGAGAGAGAGAGAGAGAGAGAGAGAGAGATTGAATCCCCAATCTTCAGAGCCTCTGAGAACGGAATGCCGGGACTGTAAAGAGAAAAATAAATTATTTATTTGTGATATAAATTATCAAAAATAAGTGATGGTTGATACGGAAAAAATCAAACCATTGTTCACACATCTGTCCGTTGATACCATACGGTATCACAGTCATAGATCAAATATTAAAAACCTATAAGCAAAAGAGCTATGAATTTTACGCTCTGTAATTAAATAAATTGTTAACTTGTTATGTTCAAATTACTGTTGTGTTTATCCATGCTAAATGTGCGAAATGTATATTTACGCCCATCGGTAGTGCATGGCACAGCCTCTGAACACTGCATTGCAGAAAAAAACGCTTTTGACTTGAACGGTAATCGCAGTCGTGAGATCAAAAATAGTGTGGCATTCAGCATTGATCTGTGAATACGATTCAACACAGATTAGTATCAGATTGTTGTTTAATAACGAATGCAAAAATTAGTAATACCAAAAAGTGTTCTGATACCATATGGTATTTATGGAGCCTTGCTGTCGCATGGCGTCAGTTCTGACACAAGCAGTGACAGTGTCAATATTACGTGAACAATGTACGCGAATTGTGGTTGCAGTCTGAATAAAACAATCCAATATTTTCATATTCATTCAAAATATAAACTTTTGTTTCGTATTTTTCCGAGTTACGTGGTATCTAAAGAAATACCAAGTAGCTCTCATGTGGCCGGAGGTTGCATGGTTTCCTTGTCAATTTCTAGTTTTTTCTAACTTTGTGTGAAATATAAAGTTTTTGAAATCTTTAAAGCAATTATTTCTTCAAAAACGAATTGCATCTTCACATTTTTTCGTCGTATCATCAAAGGACGGTAAAAGGTTGTTGCTAATTTCATTTTCGGCAAACTTTCAGTATTTTTAGAAATTGCCAAAAATTAACTTTTCAAGTTTACAAAGATGAAGATAGTTACCTTAAAACCTGTTTTAAGGAATCAGCTCTTTAAAAAGGGTAATTTACAGTTATTTGTAAAACTAGTAGTTTTCGCGTAATTCGTGGTTGGCATTAACAATTCATATGTTTTGAGAAAATGCATTGTAAATATCAAATGTCATAAAATGTATTGTAGAAAGATGTTAAGTATGAATGTTTTGAGAAAAAAAGTGATTTTCTCAAAAACAGCTCCAATTTTTTTCTTTCTTTTTTTCCTACGCAAAGAAGAAGGAACGTTTAAAAGATGCGAGAGTCTCGTTTTCATCAAACTGTCCGAATTTTCTAAAATGGCAAGTTTGGAAATAATATGAGAAAGAATGTGCTGTTATTACACCTCTAGATTACTTCCTCATCCTTGCTTCGTCGGAAGAGGAAGTCTTGTAATCGTGGGCATGAAAACGGCGAATTTTCGACCGGAATACTTTTTATTGCCGGGCCCTGGTAACGAAAAAGTGGATAATTCCTGCTCCTATAAGTAGTAAATTACTTCTCCTTACACACTCCTCTTACAGTTTCCATGTTTTGTGTGCCCTTGTCTTCGAAAAATCGATTCACGGCAAAAGTTCTTCTGTCCCTAAGTTCAAAGTTAGTTCTTCTGTCAGTAGGTGAAAACTCTTGAACCGATTTTCTCCGAAATTGATACTTCTCGATCAATTCAAAGGAACTAAAGGTCCTCTGAGCTTAAACGAAAAGGTTTTTTATAAGCCTGTGTCGTCGGCTAGCGTAACGAGAATGATGAAGATCGATTTTCGTTAAACCCCGATTTTTCGAAAATTGCAAAAGTTCAATTTTTTGGCGTCTTTCTGCATCTACAATATTAAAGATGAAGAGTATTTTTGTGAATGAAATCTGTTTTTTGAAGACTGTTGTTGAAATCAGGTCATATATAACTTGTCGAAAATATAAGTAGGTTTTTGCTAATATTGTGTGAAATACATGCAATTAATAGTGTATAACAATTAATTTATCTCAAAAGGATTAAAATATTATCATTAAATCTTTTCGTCTTATGTCCCTGGCGATGATAAAAAATATTGCTAGTCTTCGTTTCGGCGATATCTCTGTATTTTCGAAAATTGCAAGAAGTTAACCTTTGAAAACTACAAATTGTAGGGTAGAGACTTTATCCTTAAACATAATATTTTTCTTACTTTTTCTTATCTTCTATTTAAAAAAGGTAATGTACACTTTTTTGAGAAATATAAACCAACAAGAAGTGTCCTTGTAATTTGTGCTTGAAATTACTGCAGTGTATAAAAAAAAACATTTTCTCAAAAAATGCTTCATTCTTCAATTTTCCTCCACGGGTAAAACAAAGGACGCTTAAAGGAATGGTGTGAGTCTCATTTTCGGCGAACTCTATTAATATTCGAAAATTTCAAAATTTGAAATAATGCGTGAAATATTCTGTTGGTAACACTACTAGTTTCTTTAAATGTGATGCTGGACTAGAGCTAAGTGCGCTTAGCGTATACAAGTTCATTTTATTTTTGAACTTTTGATTTTCATTTTCAACAGCTTCATTTTTTAAGCTGGAAATTGCATTTCAAATGGATTTTTTTCAATATTAAATATTTAAGTGGTTCCAACTCTTTTTCGAAATTATAGTAGTGCGTACTTGTTAGTTAAATCTGATATTTTTCTGAATTTCGACGCTAGGCACTTTCAAAACATGGCTTCGAAATGACATGATATACGTGTCATCTTCAATAAAAACGACACAAAATGTATACATATAGTTTTTTGTTACAGGTCACGAGTTACTATTTACATCAGAACTGTATTTAATGAATTAATTTATCTCGGAGCAAATGCTTCTGACGAAGTTTTTCAAATTTCAAGAATTTTTCTTTTAAATATATTTCTTCCCCTTAATAATGGCAGTTTCACAGTCGTGCATTATAAGGGAAAGTTAGTGATATGAGGTTGTGTACGACATGTGTACGTTATTCTCTCATATTTTCTCCTGAAATCAGAGGAATCAAGACATTTTGGAGAAAAAGTATCTGTCAATACTATATGTTAATTGCATTTTAGAAACCAACTCCCAACTTAGAAGGGAAATAATTAATTCTAAGGACGTGTGTCCCCTCTGATTATTCTACTTACTGGGCCTGCAACTCACGCGTAAGCTTCCTGTATTCTGTTAGCTAACTCCGTTAAATTCTTGTTCGGGTTTGCATCTGAGATTCCGCCACTTTAGCTTCCTGCTGAGATCTTGACTGTAAAACAGTCAACGAGCGCACAACAGGAAGCCGGTCTAAAGAAAAATGGTGAGCAAGGAAAACTAACAACGGAAACGAAGGTCTTCTCTCAGCGTGCATTCTCTATGTTCACGCCAGAGTCATTTTCCTGGTTAATTAAATAACAATATTAATAACACTTTTTCGAAGTGATTTTCTCAGCCGAAGCCGTGTATTCGCTGTGCACAAGTGTGGTGTATCTCGAACTATACTTCGACAATACATTTTCTCTTAGATTTTTGGTCGCAGAACCCTTTTGTGTTCTACTATTAAATGCGTTACATTACCTTACCTGATCAATCTAATAAACTTGTTGCACTCGACATTAAATATTTCATGAGATATAACAAATATTTTTGTATTGTTGAAAAAATGAAAAATATTATATTAGCATACAAATGACATTAGTATTTCCAATATTTAATATGGTATTGCACCAAAGAATATAAAAGCAAAGGAACGCGAGTAATGATTTTTGACATTTATGAAATAAAAACGAAAATTTAATGTACGTTTGTATAGAATTGAAGATGACTTTAAAAATTTAAATGAAAGAAGTGGTTATAGTCACAGAAAACTAAAAATATAGATTCCAAAACGATAATTTTTACTATTAATTATTTAAATATGAATACCGGTAAAAATTGAAACAACGAATCTCATGAAATGATGTATCTAATAAACTGACAATAATTTGTTTTTAAATAACCTTGTTGCATTCTCATAGCTCCAAGTTCAGTGATATTCCTTTAATCTTTCTTTTCAAACAGATTAGAAACTAAACTGGATTCACTTTTTTTTACAACGTTTTACTATGGAAATGCCGACAAATACTTTTGTAAATCAGACCATGCAGCTCGGTAAACAAGTGGGATCGTTTCAGAATCATATCTGTTGATATTCCTTCTTGAACTGTACCTTCAGATCTTCAGTGGTGTGGATAGTTGAGTTCGCGTGAGATAATATCTTTGCTATCGACCACGGTTAAAGTTGCTCAAAATGCTCTTTTTACACAAAACGATAATCAGAATTCACCACTTTATTTCGAAATATGTGTGACTAAATCTGATTAACCCGGCGTCGTTGGTGTACCGGTTAGCATATCGGGCTGTTATTTCGAAGTTCGTGGGATCAAACGCGATCGAAGCAGTGAAATTTTGAAGCAAACTGTCCCATGTTAGTAGATTTACTACATGTAAAAGATCTTCAAGCCTGAATGTAGCCTTTGGGCTAAATTCAAATGGCCTGTTTCGTCCCCCGAGTGATACCTTCCTTCTCCACCAGGCCAGAGTTTTGCCACTTAAAATAAGGCATCAATTCAATTAATATCTTGGCTTTTGAAAAATTATCCCCCCCTCAAAAATGTAATAGTGGGGAAAAAAGATAAATTCGCCAAAATGTTTTTCAAAAGCCGATAAGAATGCAATTATTAGCATCGAGCTAATGTAAAATTTACCTTTCTTTGTTTAAAGACAATAAGTAATCCATTTTACATTAATATCACCCCCAATAAACAATGATAATCACACAAACTAATGTGAGAATAACGTATATTACAAATGAGAAAAACACGTGTCTGTGAAATGAATTACTGTAAAATTGGAACACAAGGCAAATATATCAAGTATTAATACACAATTTCACGCACGTAAGTGGTTAACATATATGCTGTAAAATAAAATTTGCCGTTGCTCTATTAGTTTTCGATATCGACTGATATCGACAGTATTGCCCATCGTGGGTGCGTCGTCAGAAGAAAAAAAATTAAAAAATCATACCTTCTGAACTTACCGTATAAAGTCACACACAGACAAACTTTTCCTCTATCTCGTGGTAAATATATACCGCTATAAAAAAATTATGTGTGCAGGGTTCGTATATAATTATCAGTATTGAATCCCGGAAACATCCATTTTCGAACCTCCCGTTGGAAAGACAAAAATTCCTTGTAATCTATGTTGTTATTGTTGTTGTTCTTCTTCTTCCATTATTATTATTATCATTATTATTATTATCATCATCATTATCATTATTATTATTATTATTATTAATATTAATATTTTACTATTTGGGAATCGGCCATTTCTGACCACGATGCATGTTCTCTTCTGACGCCCACTCATATTCCATTCTGGAGAGAGATTAACGTGTGCCATTATGGGGATCAGCTTTTCGGCTGTATCCCTTGATAGGTTTAAGGTGTTTAAGCCTTGAATTATGAATTACTAGGTGATTGGATAATAAGTATTTGTGACCCAGCATTCCCCTGTTTAACCGAGAAAAAACACGAAAACACCGGTGAGGATGGCCTGCACGGGAATCTAACCCGAGCCTCCAGACTGCGAAGCCAGTGCGCTACGCCCTGAGCCACTTCGTTTGGTTTGCTCTTTTTCTTCTTTCTTCTTCTTCTTCTTCTTCTTCTTCTTCTTCTTATTATTATTATTATTATTATTATTATTTCCTCTACATCACGACTAAGATGATATGAGTCTGCTGAAATGTAAAATCTACTCTAGGTTGCAACCAGCTACCTAAGGAGCAGATCTAGTGACGTCGGTGCCTCTACAATACTTTGCTCAAAATATGGGCTGTTCCAAATAAAGTTTTTTTTACACCTCCCAGTCTTTTGAATAAACTGTGAGTTTAGCTAAGTTCTTACACAAAGTTTGTGGAACAAAACCCAAAGCTCCGATAACTATTGGTTCGACCTGTGCTATTACGCCCCACATTTAGCTGATCTAGATTTCCAAACACTTATATTTAAGACATTTCTCTGCCTCCTTGGATCGAACGTTTTTATTGCAACATTTACAAGTAAACACAATTTTTTCTCAAAATCCCGGATAACAATATCCGGTTTGTTTGTTGCTATTGTGCTATCCGTATGAATTTGCTAGCCGTGCGAAATTGTATTGAGTTCAACCGATGTCACCAGTTTTGATGAGTGTTCATACCACGCGGAGGTGAGATCACACCCTGTCGTGTCTTTTCATGTACTCGTTCTTTGCTAGAATTTTACAAGCTGAGACGATATCATCAATGGTTTCTATTGGTCCTGGCACATGCTGCATTTATCATCTTGGTTATTGTTATTATTATTATTATTATTATTATTATTATTATTATTAATCAAACTATTTTTTGGTCTCATGAACTTCAAAGTCATTAGTGACCGTACATACAATTCTTTATAGTGTATTAAATAAATTTACATCTAGAAATTTGAAAACATATACTTGAGATGTTTTAGTGAGTAATTTGCAGAGACAATTTGTAAGTGAATGTGCATTTCGTGAGTCTACACTGGGCAATCTATTAAAATGTTCTGGATTGTTATAGGGATGTTACAAGATGTACAAGGTGATGGAGATTTTTTCTTGAATAGGTATGAATGGGTAAGATGGCTGTGTCCTATGCGAAGTCTTGCCAGAATAATTTCTTCTTTTCTTGTTTGTACTAAAGGAGCGTCATGATCGAAAACACTTCTAATTTTGTGGAGGTGCCTTGGCAAATTATACCACGTAGTGTTCCCGTGGAGCTTGAGACGTCTATGTAGTTCTTTTTGAATGTGGCTATATGAAACTATTTTTTCTTGAAGAGGGAGTTTAGATGCTTGCTTAGTAGCTGAATATACCAGGATATTGCCTCCAATTCCTTAGTTGGATGGTATCTATGAAAGAATGATGTCTATTTTGTTATATGTCAAATCATTGTAGATATTGATGATTTCATTTATAATTGGTTCAGTGTTAAATAAGTTAAGAATTTAGTACACTCAATGAATCAGTAAATATAATATATTTGTCCTCTTCTTTTTCTTTAATATCTTTGAGTGCAGCAAGGGTAGCATAAGCTTCACAGTAAAAAAAAATTAAACAGAAATTATGTAACCGAGTTTGAAGAATATTTTCATTAATTTCGACTGCGATCCAAACTTGGAGCGTGAACCATCCTTATAAATTTATTTATAGTCATTATATTGATATTGTACTTCTCCGAATAAGAATTGATACACAGTGTCGGTCGTGTCGGTCGTGTCATCTTTGATCAAAGAGTTGAGACTTGTACGTATTTTGATTAATGGGTCAAGCCACAAAGGGCGAAGTATTAGATAATTAGAATGGATTTTCAGAAAAGGAATATCAAGGTCTTGAAGAACGGTATTTAAAATATACAATAGTGGTTTACGATTTGTTTTCTTTTTTCAATATTTACTAAAACATTTCTTAGTAAATATATAATTGTAGGTTGGGTTGTTTGGGTTTCATGAAAGTTTACTTGAATACGTAAAAAGTATTTTTTTCTTCGGTATTCCAGAGGTTCACTGTTAGTCTGCGTATACTATAGACTGAGCTAGTTCGAAAAGCATTCAGTGCTAATCTGTGAGCTGAGGAATGTATAGAGTTTAAGGTTTCAAGTAAAGTTGAAGTAGCTGAGTGGTATATAAAATATCCATAGTCCAATTTTGATTGTATTAATGCACTGTATTTCAGAATAATATTTTTTATCGGCACTGCAGGAAGCAAATAAAAGAGATGTGATAATGTTCATTCGTTTTAAACATTCTGTTTTCACGTTGTCGGATTTCCAGGGGGATCCAGGGGATTTCCAGGTTAATTTATTTGGAAAAAGCAGTCCTAACATTTTTATTTCGTTACAACAAGACGTTGAGATTTTATTGTGAGGTAAAGATCATTTAAATTTTTATTTTTATTGAAAAGAATGAACTGAGATTTTCATTGGGATATTTTGAATCCTATTTCATAAGTCCAAGCAACAAGTTTGTTGAGTGTTGTGCTAGTTGTTGAGTGGTGTGAATGTTATTGCCACTAACTGTTACAGTGATGTCATCTGCAAATAAGTATACTTTTAAGGGTCGAGGAACTTGCAAAGTTATGTCATTGATTGCGACTAAAACCTAATACGGTAATGACAGACCCTTGAGGGACGCCGTTTTGAATTTAGTATTTGTTAGATAATGTATTGTGAAATTTAGCACGAATAATAGATCTATTCTTTTAGAAATTTGCTATAAATTTCAAGATAATACCAGTTAATACTCATTCAAGTAATATGTTAATAATTCTATCTCTCCAAACCATATCATAAGCTTTTACCATATCAAGACTTATAGCTAGCAGATGTTCATAATTAATGAAGACATTACAAATATCACTATGCATATTACTTAGGTGAGCTCTAGTAGAATGGCGATGTCGAAGTCCACTTGGAAGCGGAGACATTTTGTTGTTAATTTCTAAAAACCATGTGTGTCTTTTACGTATAATTTTCTCCGGTAGTTTGCATAATGCTTAGTAAGTGAAATAGTCGATAACTGTCAGGAAGGTTAGGATTCTTATTTTGTTTCAGCATCAGAATTACAATTGATTCTCTCAAAGAGTTTTAGGAAAATAGCCAATAGAGAGGGGGGTCATTAAATAAGGTGGAAATGTACTGAATTGCATTTGAAGGAAGTTCTCGTAGAAATATGTTGTAAATACCATCCGACCCAAGGTTTGAATTGTGAGGTTTATTCAGAACATTGTTGGTTTCACATTGAAATTGAAAGATTTAGTTCAGAATTAGAAGATTGATTTTTTAAGTATATTATCAATTGTAAAAGATGATTCGGCTGTAAATTTCTGAAATTCTTTTTCATGATTTTTGTCATGAGTTATTTGAAAAGATGATGGTGCGAATATATGATACATCTTCATCAATAGTGACTAAATTATTGTTGTAGAGTATAAACTTAGGAAGATATTTAGATTTATACGAACCATTGATGCATTTCATTTTTTTCAACTTTCAGAAGTTTTGGATGAGAAATGTATGTGGTATTTATCAGTCGTATCATTTAGGCCCTCATAGAACTTGATATTACAATTTAATATGTGGAAATTATCAAAATTACAATAGTTGCAACATCATACACTGTAAAAAAAGTTCTCGAAAACTTTTTTGTTTACATTCAAGGCCACATGGAATATTATTATTATTATTATTATTATTATTATTATTATTATTATTATTTTATCACTCATGCCACTACTACTACTACTACTACTACTACTACTACTACTACTACTACTACTACTACTACTACTACAACAACTACTCTAGTTCCATCGTCTGAAATTTTGGGTTCCATGGTATGTAGACGTTGGAAGATGGGCATAAAGAAGTTTAAAGTTTCAATACAATTTTTGCGTTTACGTCAAAATCTGTGGTGTTTAAGACGTCCTTATTAATGGTCAAATAGCACTGAGGTAGCTTTCGTCTGTTTCCTCGTGGGTGGATTTTTCTACGGTAACGCCCTATTTAACTCGTCGGGCGGGGGCGATGTAGACCTGAATTACAGTTCAGTGCTCGCTGTCTGTAGCTTTCGAGACTGCGGGTCAAGGCCGCCTTGCGGCGGTGAAAGGAACAGAGTCAACGACCGGCTGTTGAAACCGATAATGCCAAGAAACGAGAGTGGGTAGCGCACTGAGGTATGCGGCCAAGTTTTCGCGAATGCGTGGCGCGTTATATGAAAAGACAGAATCACAAAATGCATGAGATTGGCATCATTTCATATTAATTATACATTTACGAGTATGTAGTTGTTCATCTTAAATACCTTCCACAGATTTGGATCATCAGTGTAGGGCTGATTTTGTTTCGTTGCGTTTCGATTGGCGAATTGTTTTAGAAGAAGAAAGAGATAAGTTCCAGAGGATGTAAGTCATTCCTATTACGCCATGCACATTGAATGTTTCCGCTATTTCAGCTTTAGTTTGGAAACAATGTGTTTTGGCCTTGGTTTTATTCAATTGGGCCGTCCTATTTACACAAATCTTTTTTGTTCCAATTCCAAACACACATCAAAGGTCACGGGTTCCATTAAGGCAATCTGTCTCACGTTCACATATTTAAAGGCTGACATATTGTGTCTTCCACTGGTACTGGCTATGAATTAACTGAAAATTTAACTTGCTTCTTTTGATCGTACAGTCAAAGTTTGATATCGCCCGTTGAATGTTTGCATGAAGGCTTGCATATATGAAACAATCTTCGTGTATCTGCGATGCTTTCTCAAATGAATAAAAGGTCAATTTTATTTCCCGCACTTACTCCTTAAGAAGAAAAAGTTATGTAATCGTGCTCCGGAAAACTGCGAATTTTCGGCAGAAGAACCCTAGTAACGAAAAAGAGGACATATCCTGTTGCTACGTAGTAAATTGCTTCCTCTAAGGAGTGGGGGAGCCAGATACTCGTTTGATTGATACCAAAATATTGATTAACGGCAAAACGTCTGTCTCTCCGTCCAGCTGTGGTCAACGCAAGCGCCTGAACCCTTCAGCCGGTTTTCTCGTCAATTAATATTCCGTGATCGATCTGATCGAACTCTAGGTTTTGGGAGTTCCAACGAGATATTTTTATTTTTCAGGGTACTGTACAAGAAGCCTCACATACATTTTCAAAATTTCCCTAAAAATGGCCCAAAATTTTGATTGTTTTCTTTAATAGCGTATAGGACGCTAAATAAAATGGTGCAGGTCTCATGTTCGTATAATTCCATATTTTTTTATAATTGCAAAAGTGCAATTTCTTTTGCGTCTTCTTACAGCTGTAATATATAAGATAGACGTTTTTTACTGAATGATATCTCTTCCTTAAAGACAGATCTTGAAATATGATCGTGTATAGTTTTTCGAAAATGTGATTCATTTTCGCGTAATTTTGAGGGAATGCAGGGAATTTCTAATTTTTTGAAACAATTGTTTTCTCAAAATCGGCACGAAATATTCCTTTAAATGTTCTCCTTGTAGCTATCAAGGGACGGTAAAAAAACACGATAGCATTTTCAGTGAACGCATTGACGCATTTTCAGTGAATTCTCTGTATTTTGGAAAATCGCATGAAGTTAACATTTCAAAACTACAAAATTGAAGATATCGATTTTTGCCATAGACAACATCTGTTCCAAAATATCAGCTCCTGCATAAAATATCATGTACAGTTTTTTTGAAGAAAGAAAAAAAGAAAGAAAAGTTTTGGGGTAATTTGTCCTTGAAATGAATGCAATTTATAAAAAAAGAATATTTTCTTAAAAACCCCTCCCAATTGGTCCCATGATGTGATAGAAGGGACGCTTAAAAGAATTCCAATGAAAATGACTAAATAACGTGCTGAACAGTATTATGTAATTACCAGATAAATACATTTGCGTTCGTCAGTCTGCATATTAATACACGAAATTTGTGAAAATTATAATTTTGTATACTGGAAAGTCTCGTTTAACATTTGATGTAACTAGAATGATTCTTTTAATCTTGTATACTTAACTTGTCGCGCAAACGGCTGCGGTGGGGACACAGATTGGAGGAAGGAACTTTTTTCCCCAGCGTATCTACTATGGTTATATGTCTCTTAGGCGTAGTTCACGCGAGGCGGCAGTGTTCATCCTCCGCTAGAACGTGAGATTTGGCGCCGAACTACACGTCGTTTGTTGACATTTCCCTCTCTCTACTTTGGTAAAAATTACGTACGTTTTTGCGGTATGAAGAAAATGTGATTTCTGCGAAAAATATACCTATTTCCGAGTTTATAATTTTTAAAGAAATGCATTCAGGGAAGCAAAATTTCTCACACTTCTACTGACACACGTTGTAGAAATATCATCAAGCTTTAGATGGAACGGCCGAGGTCATTATATATACCTAAAGATTCTGGTCCACCCAGTCATGAGAGTTTAGTGTCCATTTGTTGTTCTACTAATATTGCAGGCGTTCTCTGCGAGTCGTGCTCATTTCCCTTTACTGCTTTCTAGTTGCTGTCTGCTTCGATCTCCCTGTTGCCGACCGCTCGTACAGGACGGAAGGAGAGAGGGCAGGTATTTTCGAATACATGTATTCTTCTTCAGCCTGCGGATATGAATTATTTATTTGATGAATGCCTAAGGCGGATCGCGTCGCGTCCGATGGGAACGTGACCGAGCTTACCACAGTACTCACTTCAAAATCGTTACCATTGCCTTCGCCCGCTCGGTCTCTGCGAATGGAACTCCCAGTGCAGCGTTGCGCCACATCAGCCTGGCCCGCATCTGTCCACTTCTCATCATTCCTCATCGCTTTGTGGCGTTCCGCCTTGACACAGCTCTTTTCATGCTTGCCTATTTGCTCTGTTTCATCCTATGCCTTTCGTATCTATTGTTCAGTTCCGCAGTTTTGCCATTCCTCTTTCTCATTCCCTTCCCCCAGCCTTTGTTCGTAATTTCCTCGTTTCGCGTGTCGGATATATCTTCATTCTCGATTGAATCTTTGCCCCTGTTTCTGCCGCCATTTTCATATAGCTGATAGGTTACCAATGCTTAGCGCAACCTCTGTCATCCCATCACATGCCTCCCATTCTCTTGTCCTGGCCCCCCTTCCGTAGTGTCTCCCTTCTCCTTAGCGCAGTTTCTGGAGCAAGCTGGATCTGTTGTGTGGCATCTGCCGCCGCTGCGGCGTGTGTTTGTCTCGGACCCATTAGCTCGTGTTAACCTCGGGTGCGGCACACAACCACTTTGGCCCTGCGCAGAAATACTGGCCATTGCGAGTAAGGTCCAACTCTCTTCTGTTGAGGGTCTCTGGATGTTTACGTGACATTAACGGAATGGCTTCTCGTAATTTGTTGGCCTCCTTTTGTCGTCAACAGACGTCACAATTATATTTGATAGGCAGACATTCATCATTGCCCTTCTATTAAATGTAGGTATGTATGAACCTTTGTACGATATATTGCCATCAACGCAGTATTTCTCAATTGAGAGCTTTTGTCTTGTCCAGTGTTAGTCATCCTTTGAAAGACAAGCTGCTTTTTTTATTATGAAATGAATTAGATTCGTTGAACAATAATCAAAGTGTCTGTGTTTGACGGCTCACAGTTACGTCAATTCGATGTGCAAAGTTCCTTCCCAGCAACTTCTGACTCGCCAAATGGACAAACAGCAGGCGAAGCAGAGCGGTGCTTCGTCAGTCCTGGGTTAGTCTTACTCAGGCATTAGTTATGTTCACGCGACAGAAGTGCGACGTGATTTATTTTGTTTTCTTATCTTGTTGGTCTTCTAGATGCCTTGTCTCTCTAGCAGGTGGTTATCCGGTGTTTGCTTTAGATTACAAGGAGCCCTCCACATCAGTGCTGAGGCGGCAATAGAGGCGAATGCGCTCATCGCTCAGCAACTCGCCTCAGTTTTGGCCATCTGCGGCCAGAATGTGCGTGTAGTCTTTTGCGATTGAGTTTAGATGAACGTAATAGCGGCATGTCGCACAACGCAGCGCCAATAACTCGCGGTGCGAGGCTGTCACCGCCGCCTCTGCTACCGCTGCCTCCTTCCCCTCCTCCTCGTGATGCTGCTGCTGCTGCTCCTCCTCCTCCTTCTCCTCCGTCCCGCTGGCGCTCGGCTCGGCAAGCGTGCGTCATGCCAACTTGCGGGCGCGTTCTCTTTCAGGTTACGCAGTTGGTGACGCGCCGTCTAAAGAGGCGCACGCCCACGAGACCCGCGCGGCGTGCTGGCTGCCGGTACGGTGCTCTTCCCCGCCCAACCCGACGCCCGAGAGACTTCCTCCGGCGTCTCGGACAGCCCTGTGCCCCTCGCCGCTCGCCTCGCCGTCAGCCCCGGCCGCCTTCGTCGTCGCAGCCGGACCCCAGCTTGCGCCACGGCGCCAGGAGTCTCCCAGGAGAGCAGTCCACCCATGCGGTCTGCCCTGGGACTCAACAGAATCGGCCGCGCTCCACGCAAAAAGACGCCGTAATTGTCACGTGCGTAAGGCTCACCGTCGCCCGCTGAAGTTGCAGTTTTCTTCGGACGGCCCAGGAAGGACCGGCTGATTAGCTTTCGTGAATACCTTGTGGACTGGAGATGGCGGAAGAAGGGCGTCGCAAGTCGCTGCTGCCGCCCATTCGGCGCCTCAGTGTGGTGAGTGTACGTGTTTGCTTTGGGTGCTTCTTTTCATTTTTTCTTTTTCTCCTATAGTTACATTACATTCGCAATATTTTTATCAGATATTTACCACATTAGTAAGGATGTATCAAACCTATCATGAGTTGTCTATAGCTTTGTGTTCCTGCATGGACCTAATCACTTTCTGCAGTTTTCGATTTATTTAACAATCTATGATTCACATTTCATATTTGTAGTTGACAGCACCCCTAGAATTTAGAAGTGACGGCAAAGTATTAAAAATTCAGTAAAAATATTGTGAATGGAATGTCAAATGATATGCTTTTTGGTGTAATCCGTGTGAACCTTTTTCAATTGGTGGTTTTGCCTAGCTTTCGAAATGTTGTGCTCTTAGTGGGAATAGTTATATGTAGTATGGGGTGCTGGTGTTTTTTACCTTTGACATTTTTCTACGTTTTTCCCTTAAAAAAGTCTGTAACGTATTGTGTTTTATAGTAATGCTTCTGGAATCAAGTGCCCTACTTTGTTTAGGGTTTTCGTTTTCTGAATTAAAAGATATGGCTTGTAATATATTCAACATATTCTAGCCTTATGGTAGTTTCTGATGACGAGTGAAGTACATACGTGGAATATATTATTCGGAATAATTCCTTGTAAAATAAAAAAAGGCCGATTTAAAATATCTTTAGCTCATATCCAATCCGCAATTAACAAATGTTGAAGATCTGCATATGAGAAAAATATTTCAGATTATAAAATGCGGAAATAAAGGAATTGCCCTTGCATTCGCAAATATTATTTAAACTAAGTATCCACCCAGAACATGTTCATTTATTGGGTAGTATGATGTAGTGTTTATACCATATTCGTTCATCACAGATTTCTTGAATTCAGGAAGTTATTCGCGACTGAAATTTATGTTTTTTGTAACTAACCCGAGCTTGTGACTCTTCTACTTCTAATCCGAAATACAATTAGAAAATTTGAAAAGTCGTGTTTTTTTATTTTTTTAAATTCAAGATATCCATCATACGGATGCAAATGCACGTCTTAACTATTATTTAGGTTTTTTCTTATTATAGAACTTGTTTACGTCCATATGTGCAATATTTTGATCACTTGGTTCGAGGCCTGCGTGAGAGGCAAGCTAGGAGGGGAGGGGAGGGGAAGGAAATAGAGGAATAGGGGAGGGGAATCGCTAGTATGTCTGTGACGAGCGTAAGATCTTTGTCAAACCGCTCTCTCGCTGCGTTATTTTGTGTAATTTTTCACGTTGCCCCCAAGCTATTGTAAACTAATTTAATTGACTTTTTGATGACATTACCTTATTTGCGAAATGCGTTATTTAAAATATCTTGATAGAATGAAGTTCTTATCTCCCAACTTTGGAAATATTTGAATTTTTTTATTTCGGATATGCGCTCCGCGATTAGAGATGATACGTAATGGTGTTGGACTAAATTCTAGTCCATAAATTCGAAGATAAGATTTCGTTAAATCACTTTGTTGCCTTCAGGACATTGAAATATACTGTGAAGAGCACAGTTGTTGGCTTCTCGGTCAGAAAAGACACAGTACATATTCATTTGCATTCGCTTGTACATCTTTCCAGGCGACCGTTAATTACACTGGGCTCTTGTAACAATTTAGGATATGTAATTCTTCCTTTGCTAGACATGTACTCAATGTTTGGGATGTGTAATTAAAAACGTAAATCTCATATTATATTTCAGTTTTTAGGAATGAAGATTTACTGATTTATATCCGTGGTAACTGTTTTGTGCGATGTTCAGGGAGGAGAAAGATCTGTATCGTCCAGAGGCAAGGAAGAGCCCGGCTCGTCACACGCTGTAAGTATATGTGGGAGAAGAACGAAATTAAAAAAAAAAAATATATTGGAAATTTTTATCTCTAATTTTTTAGTGATCATTTAATTATTAATTCGTTTATTTGATTTTTTATTTCTGATTTCCGATCATCGTTAGGTATGAACGACGATATGCACTTACCGAATTCATTTGGTTGCAGGTTGACCATGTTATGTGTATTTGAAAGTTACATACTACTAAAGAGACGTTCCTTTTGTTTTTTCTTTACTTAAGAGAGATATTAACCCAAGCGTAGATTATGATCTATCAGATGCGTCGTGAAGAGCGCGAACGATGTTGAGAAATGTGAAAATTGATTTGTTTGTGTATCGGAACCTCTTCACACGCATTCCTAATCTTGATAAAAACGTTTTGGACGTCACAATTCACTACCGGCATAGGTTCTGACTCCACTGGTGCTTAAACTTGCGAAATGTTCGCCTGATTGAGTACGACTCGCCTTGTTACCACTTGATATTTTCCAGCAGATGATCATGCAATGGAGTAATCTCTGATAATGGCATTTCAAGTGAAGTCGAGAAGACTTCGTTGACGGTCTTCTGAAATATTCCCAAGATAGTTAAGTCGAGAAGAGGTGAATATAACAAGTCGCACGTTAGAACTGACGGTAATGGAAGCTAACCAACAAGTCATGGTCATTGTGTATATTGGGAATACGTATTTCCAATTTAATCTAAGATATTTACAAAAAACTCTACTCCTGTTGTTCAACTTTTGAAATCTTCTTTCGAAATGTGTCCATTTTTTCTTTGTCGACCAACTAATCACGGACCACCTGATATGGTATTAAACCCGAGGCATAGGTCTCCGTCACATGTGGCAGATTGGGGACCGTGTAATGCCTAGCGCATACGCCCTCATTCGCTGAAACCCGGATTCGATTCCCGGCCAGTCCATGAGAAATTTTGGTGAACAAAGCGAGCAATACCCCGAAGATTTATCAAGGTTCTCCCACTTTACCCTGCCTCTCATTCTATTCTCGTCATCATCGTCCTCATCATTATCCGTGTCATATACACATTAGATAACCTCATGTGTCTCATTGACTTCAGTAGTTGATGGACCCGTACATTACAATGTATAAAAATAACTCATGACAGATACTCGTGAGAGTTTGAAAGAACTCTGCTTCCAGGTCCACTTTCCATAATTACTACCACGGTTAAGTTGTAAATATGAATTGTGATATGCTTATTATGAAAGATGAATGAACAAGCACAAAACCCTTCCTCGACCCTCCTCAACCCATGACCCTTCCAACTGACGAAGATTGAGTGTATTTCCAATTCCCACCTCAACGCGGTCCGCTGGAAAATCTACCATTCTTGCTCATCAATTACAGTGTTTCAAAAATTTCAATTTAAATCGCATCGACTATTATGATTTTTTTCCTTCACTCCATGTTACGGACGTCGATCAGGTTTTGCTGAAAGTGTGTATATGTGTAAGGTGTCTTATCTTTGTGTGACATAACTGGAGCAAGGCCGCACCTCGTATTCGGCACGCCACTACAAGCTATGGTTTCTCCTTAAGCCTAGGTCACTGCCCCTGTGCCTTAGGAACTGTTCATATTGTCAGACACAAAATAAAACCAATGAATATGGTGGGAGGAAGTCTTAGAGTAGACGCTAAACAGATTTTTTAATGGTCTTAACGTTTTTAGTATATTTCGTAACTTAAATATAGATTCGTGAATAACGTCAGATTTTTCTCGTTCCCAAAATACTTACTTGAATCTATATTCTCTTGTCTATCTTTTGGAGGTTTGTGTATTATATATATATATATATATATATATATATATATATATATATATATATATATATATATATATATATATTTGTTCGTTGTTGTGGTCGTTGTTATCTGTCCCTTTCATACGAAGTCCACGGATTTCCAATGTTGTCGTTCTCATAAATCTTTACTCTGATACAAATTTTAAATCCAGTAAAAATAATTTCAAATTTATCTTTTCTTCTTCAAGCTACAGTATACACAATGTTAATTCAAAAGCTAAAATTCCATCAAACCTTATCAGAACTGACAAATTTATAGAATAGGGCATTCTGAGTGATGTGGGTCACAATTTCGCATTTCTAGTTATGCTGAAATACGTTAATTAGAAATGCAGTTAGACAAATATATGAATTTATATTATCACTTTAACTTCCGTGGTCACGAAGTAACATCATGTAAACACAAAGGCATTAATAACATTAATTTTAATGAATTGATTTACGGCGTCGCAAACGCAGCATTGACTTAAATTGGCAGCTACGATTCCTCATTCCCTCACAGTTTGATGTATAATTGTTTTGTTCATTTTTCAGTTAGAAGGCACGTGTGAATTTATGGTCACGTGAGCTTTGCCCTACACTACTAGTGCAGACCTTGTACATTGCTGCTTTACTATATTATTTCGTTTTATCATATTATTTTAGCACCTGAAATCGTATACCTGATATTAATCGTTAACTAAATAAAATCTATCGGTGATCCGATGTACGTATTTAAAAATCGAAATAATTAGAAAGTTATCTTAGCAGAAGAGATATGATAAATGGGCGGCGAAGGAAAAGTTCGTTTCTGGACCATCGCCGAACATTCGACTGCCGGCAGGGTTTTCAGGTTTTGCGGGATAATCAGATTCTGCTGCCTTGATTAGCAGGACTGGGCGGCATTTACGGCGCCGTCGCCTCGCCCATTGCAACGCCTATTTTCCTTTTGTTAAGCGCCGGAAATTTGTATCCCCGGCCACCGTCGGCGTAGCGGGGCGCGCTCAGCCGTGTTGCGACGGACATGGAGGGAGATCCACCTGCTGCCTTTCGGCTGACTGGCCTGTGCAACTGTTTGCACTCGTCCTGTGACGTAGATCTTACAGAGGGCAGGCGCGAGATAAACTCTCCCAAGCGCCAGGGCATTCAGGTTTTCATTCATTCAGTGATTTCTTTTTCCCCTTAAACAAGTGCTTGTAGATAAGTATAGGTTAGTTACACACAAAAAGTTTGCAATTTATGAATTATTTTTAAAATATTAAAGATTAATTGTTAAAAATAATCGTTGTTTTCAACGATTGAAGGCCTTCCTCTTTGTATAGTTGAAAGTTTGGAAGTTAAGATGGAGATGTCAAATACTTTTGTTCGGAGTGGTAAAATTGTGCTCAGATTTTCTGACGTCTTTGTGTACCTTTACCTCTGTTACCCCTCTTTTTCCGATCTGACATCTGCGTACTAGTAGCATTGCCGGAGTTCTCTGTAGATCATTGGAATGTGTCTTTTTTTCATTTATTTTCTTCTTGTTCGGCCATGTGGCCTTTCAAGGGCTTGGATACAATAGAATTTTCATTGTTGGGAATAGACATCCTTGGCATTTTGAGCTTGGCATCACTGCACCGTTTTTAAGGTGTTGGATTGGGATTGGAATGGTTTATTGTTTATTTAAAATTTACACATCATTATAATATGATAGAAGTTTTGATGCCAACAGGCGGCGGCGGCGATGGTGTAACGGTTAGCGTACTGGACTGTTGTACCCAAGTTGGCGGGTTCAAACCCGATCGAAGCCGTGGAGTTTTAAGGGCGAAAAAATCCTTCGTACGCCTTCCTTCGGAGGGGAAGTAAAGCCGGCTGTCCCATGTTCGTAGATTTACTTGCATGTAAAAGATCCTCAAGCCTAAATGACGCCTCTGAGCTAAATTCAAATCGCCTGTTTCTCGCCCAAGAAATACCTCCTTTCTCTCCTAGTTGGTGAAAGGAGCGTAGCGAAATTTGCGTGGTCAGACGGAAGAGCGGGCCTGATGGCCCGAGTCTCGCCACGTAAAATAAGGCAAATTCAATTCAATTCAATTCAACAGCGACCGACTGCGACATCCAAGAAAACGGCTCAACAGACCTGATTACGTCAGTCTCTGGCCGGCCTGTTAAATATTATCGACTGGGTCTACCATATTGTTGTCTACACTTCATTATGTTTGTACAATACATTGGATGCGTCGTCTAAAGGAAAACATTAAATAATAATGGGAGAATGAGGAGAGGGATGATGTAGAATGCAATGTCATACGAAAGATTGCCAATTTCAAATATTTCATATTAACGGACTGTTTTCTCAGGGCAGTAATGTCAAACAGTTCCTGCTGGTAAACATTAAATATTATAAGTATGTATGATCGTGATTTGAATATTCTTTCTCAATATGTTAAAAAATGCCATTACTTTCCACTCCCACCACCTTATGTATTAATTTACTTTGTTGAATATTGATTGGTTTTTTTGATCTACTTCTTATTACATATTAAAAATGATACTCAGTACTATATGTATGAAGATAATTGTTCATATTTCTGAAAGCAAGATCTGGACTCTAAACCAATGTCGCAGTATTTTTCATTTTGTAGCGTCTGCTGGAAATATTTCAGAATGGTTGGTGCTAAATCATTATTAGCATTCTGAACGGTTTCGGTGCTGGTATTGATAACTGGTGGACTGACATTTTGCCGTAACCAATTTTTCGGTAACAAGGACCCACAAAATTTGGATTGTTACTACACAACATGTTAAATGAAGTAATATACGAAAAAATAGAAATATATACTTATAATAGGAACAGGATTTATCCATTTTTTGGATATCAAGACCCCACAATACGAGTGTTTCTAATGAAAAATCGCCACTTTCCCGCCGCAGCAATACAATACTTTATCTTTATACATTGACATTTTGCAACATATGTAGAAATTATTTGACATCAAAACATAACGATTATTACTTAATAACATAAATAAAAAGTAAAGAACAGAAATAACGAAATTATGTACACAACGACAATATACACGCAGAAATTATGACTATTGCACTCTTATTTACTACGTGTTGCCTGTCTTCCTCCACAATTATAACGTTTTCTTGGAATACCAATCGTGTGTATATTTAATGCTACGTGCGGATGGGTGTTGGTTGCGT